CATCTGAATGAGGGGGCAGTCTCTGTTAATCCTATCCATTTTATCCCCCACTTAGTTTTCCAGCTTACACTTACCCTATCGACTCTCCTACTGGAAATGCCTATTTTACACCTCCTTTCTTAGACATTCTATCTATATCTAGGGGATTTTTGTGAGATATTCTTTGGGCATTTGCCATCTTCAGTTTTTTTCCCCTTCACACCTGGCTTCTTTGCTTTTGAGATCTTCTGAGGTGGGACACTGCATTGCCCCTCAGACTTGTTTTGGTTCTGTATGTCCTTTGTCAAATGGTTTGCATTTTACCCAACTTTCACATTTTGGAGGATTTTACTAACACCACTACTTGGATGTCTAACTTTGGTTAGCACGTTCTGAATGGTGGTGGTACTCATCTGCTTCTTATACAAGAAACTCGGGTGGTTGGATTTTCCAGTTGGATAAGTTTTCCTGTTACCTACTTAACAATCTTGTCTATTTGGGGAGTGTCTTTTTTAAACACCCACCTGTGTCGAGACCATTCATTCTCCTCCTTGATTGCATTTGATGGAGCTTTTTGTTATCCACACCATTACAGTTCACTATCTTACTGCTAGCAAGGATCTAATGTATTGGAGGATGTGGCTTCTATGCAAGCACTTCTCCCTTTGGGCTTGGCACATTTGCAATATTTTCAGAAGATGCTGCATGACCCATGGTCTTTTGCTAGGATTCCTTTAGATTCTCCTCTTAACTTTCCTACTTCCCTCTTTGACTATATGCATTAGTATTTGAACCTATCCTCTATGTGTAGGGTTTACTGATTCCTCCCCCTTATCTGGATTTGTTTCTTTTCCCTGATGCTCATCTCCAAAGTTGGGGTGTGTGGGTCGATCAGCAGGAAGCTTCAAGACAGTGGTCTACGGATGAAAGGTCTTACCATATTAACACCCTGGCACTTCTGGCAGTCCAACATGCTTTAGTTCACTTTCTTCCTCTTGTCCGGATTTCACTAATCATGTTTCATTCTGACTATTCAATGGTGGTGGCTTATAACACTTGCCAAGGGGGCTCTCGTTCTTGTTCTCTTTTTGAACCCACACGCTCAACATATGTCTTCTGGTGTGTTGTATTTTATGTGCTTTCATTCTAGTTGCAGATCACCTTTCCAGTCCCAACACACTTTCTTCCAAGGAGTGGCCTCTCGATTTTTAAATTGGTGTAATCCATAGAGGCAATAGTCAGAGGTTTAAGCTGCTAGATGGATGCTGATTCCTCATTACTTACCTCTAAATTTTTTGGGTTAACCCATTGCTGCAACTCAACAGTAAAACCATTACCTGAATTGCTGTAGCATTTAGTGTTCCACCTAATGATCATTGGCTCACTGAATATCAGAAGCAATCACTAAGTTCTGATGTCCAAGTAATCACGTGTTTGAACTATCTCCGATAATGGTCAGTATTCTCTGGAATTAAACTTGAAAAGGTTGGATGGCTAACCTGTTTCTTTTTGAAGCTACTCACAATAATCCTGTTGTTTTCTTATGTCATTTTAAATTTTTCCGAGCTTTGTTTATATCTAGACACTATTTTTAAACTTCCAGCACTTGAGAATTTCTTTTTTTTTATGTTGTTTCTGTTGTTTTCATAACTTTAGTATTTTCCTTTGACATTTCTCACGTTGAAAGTAAATAGCTTTAAATAACCTAACAGCCACAACAAATTATACTTGAAATAATTTTGAAAAACTTACCAGAAAGTCATAATTCTCTGTGGAAAAGGAAACACCTTTAATTGAACTGCCAGTCAGTTGCTTTTTCTCTAGTCAGCATTTAAAAATTCTGACAATGGCAGACAGCCTTAGTAGCTTTACCATAACAAAGACAGGGTGAGCAAGTTTGGTGGCAATATTTTGATTACTTGGATTTGAAATTTGGAGACAGTTTGAATACGCAGTGAAAAAAACTTTCATCGTTTCGACAAACTTTTGTCTTGAAATTTGATTACTTGGATAATTGGAGTAATTGGAAATAGTAATATTCAGAAACCCAAATTTCAGCTGTTTGATTATTTGATAGTCAAATTAATTGGGATTTCGGTTAGTGGATTATTTTTATGACAGTTGATATAAATTTAATTTCAATTAATAAATTGTTGGAATAATTTTGAACACTAATTCTGAGATGATATGTCACCTCCACACACAGAATAGTTTCATTCCTCAAGCAACTGCCTAAGAGATTTGCTTGCCACTAGCTTTGAACTAACTCCCACCTAAAAATCACATGTTTAATATAAACTGTGCTAATATATGATATCATATGGGAAGATAGTTCTCCAACAGTAGGAGAGTTATACAATTTCTTTGTGTAGTAACTCTTCTTGAGAACTTACAATTGAAATAACTTCATTATTTTCCTTGCCATTGTCTATAATTGACATTTTTAATCTTGTTAAATAATTATGTGAAGTTTGTGGTAGTTTACCAAACTTAAATATTTGTTCAAATTTAACTGGTTTCTTTTATTACTGTAGTTTTCTGAATATAATATGCACTCTAACCTTCATGAACAAAGAGTAAAATTTGTCTTATCTTCATAAATAATAAGCTCCTAGACTTTTACAATACTGAGATCAAAGTAACCTTTTGAAGATAAGAATGTTAGAGTGTCCATATAGTCTGTTATTGTACGTTTGATGTAGTGCTTGCTATGTTTGAAATCATGTCCGTCAAATAAACATTGTCAAAATATCAGAGTATCTATAAAATCACAAAAAAGAGTTCAAATTGTGGTCAGCAAATAAATGTTCTCTGAAACCCGTTTACAGCCAGTAGAGAAGTAGTACCAATTATTCAAGGAGAGTGATTCAGAGACTCAGAATTTGAAAGTTTCATCAAAAGTGACTTGTATTTTTGAATATCAAAAGCAATGTAGCGATAGCTAGCTTTGTATTTCTATACATTTTTAAATGTGTATGTCAATAAATCATAAAATTCAAAAGACTTGATCATTTTATTTCAAAAATCATGTTTAAGGACACTGAAAATGAATGAAAATGGGAGACAGTTTTCATTTATGCCTTAGAAATAGAAAGAATTAATAAGATATATCATTAAAATGCAACCTTTCTAGTAAATATGCATTATTGTTCACAGCATACATTGGAAAAGATAGTCTGGACTTGCTGTAACAAAAATCATTTAGATTTGTTACCGTGTAAGGGTTCCTTCATGTACACTGGGCTTACTCCTGGTGTCTGTTCGGCCATTATCCCTTCTACCCAGATTGAATATTTTATTATTATTTTTCAGTTTACAAGGTTACAGCCACGTAGAATATAATCAGGATGTTGATAATTTTACTCACTATTTCCTCTACCAGGGTTTACTCTAGGCATAGCTTTATCTGTAGTTGAAAATCCTCAAGCCTCTTCCTTGACATGATTTCGCAGTTATGTTCTTTTCTTTCTCTTCCCCTTCCTTTTCTTCTAACTCCCATGTTTTCCTATGTGAAACTCCTACTCCAGACATGAGAGTCCATGCAGGTTCATTTGTCATTCGACTAGACACCCATACTACTGCGCCTCATCCTCGTATTGTACTTGACTATCTTCTCCCAGTTTACAGTCATTCTCCATTTCATTTCCTTGATTTCTATTCTTTAAAATATCTTTTCTACCTGCTTTGGGGGTGGATCCCTTAACTTCTACTTTCCTTTCTTGTGCTCAGTTTTCAAGCAGCATTTGTCTCTCTCTCTCTCTTCTTTTTTTTCCACTCTTCTGAGTTGCCTCTCACCTCTTCCTCTCATGTCTGAGGCACTTCATGGTGCTTCAGATGAAAATTTTCTGGATGGGTTTGTTATCTTGTTTTCATTGCATGGACCTGTACTACTACTTCTGCCCTGTTCCTCCTTACTTGGTTCTTCTGCTGTTGGGATGGGATGTTCTCTCACACTTATATCCATGACTTCTGTTTAGCTCTGTTTCTTTGTCGTGTGATTTTCTGAGGTATTTCAGACTCACTAGGACCCAGACTGTTGCAGTGTGGAATCAGTCGTCTTTGTCTATGACGGTTTCTCATCTTTTTCTACTTTGACATTTGTTCATGTTCCTAGGCTTGCTAAATCTGTGTCTCACCATCCCATCCAGTTCCCAGCCTCTTTATACTTTCTGTCTTCCACTGACTGTTGCCAGGGTCATCACTCTTGTTTTTTTGTGACTACCCTGTCAGATCTGGACTGATACTTTTATATGATTTTACACACAATTCCATGGGCTCCATTTATGCTGTTGACTTCATGTTCACTATTTCATCTTTGTCTGAGCATTGGAATGATCCCTTAGTTAAAAACTGATTTTAGAAAATAAAAAAAACACTTCACGTTTTATAGAGACAGTCTTTTGTTTTATTGCTAAGTTATTTATTAGGTAGCTCTAAATATTCACCAGACAGATATATTCTGGCATTTTAATAGATTTATAGATTATTAATTAGAAAAATAAGAGTCTTACCCACAAATAGATTTCTAAGTGGTAATCCCCCTTTTGGATTTAAGTTGGGCAGCCCTGCTCTAGGTTAATTCTACTTTTGCAGTTTTTATACCCAACTTAACATGTTATACTTGATGTGCACAGATATTGTTAGGTTCTTAGTCTGCACAATGTGACAATTTACAGTGCACTGGCTTTTGTGGTCACTAGTGATGTTGCATTTGTGGTTTTAACATCTTCTAACAGATTTCAAAAACTGGGGCTGAGAGAAAATCATCATTATGTGCAGGTGACCTTTTTTCAAAATTTTACTAGTAGAATGCTCAACAGCTATATAGTCTGGATGACAAAATTGTTTATAATGTTATTTATGTAAGATAAAATTTTATTTTGTAAAATTAATAATACATGAGATATATCAAAATCACTACCCTATATTTGTGACATTAATAGTTCTCAGCATTATCACTTTTTAATGTTTCTAAGTAAATTTGTGAAGAAGATTTAACCATATTTTTTTATTTCATATAGCTGTGATTTTATTGGTATCCTAAAAGAGAGAAATGTTGATGTTGAGAAACGATTTGGTCTGTTGAGTAAAGAAAAACTCTCTTGCTGTAAAAAACGAAGCACAAATTGTCGTTTAGTCTTTCGTGCCATCATTCCATCATCATGTGGATCTGTAGAGATTCTACAAGTTTCTTCAAAGCCTATATTATGTAGTATGTATGACACTTTTTGATTTTTAGATATATTAACTAAGAGTATTGGCTGACTGAAATTTTGAATAATTGATTAATCATTTGCTGAGTCATAAATGATAATATTATGAAGAAAAAGGTTTTCAATGAAAATTAATTTTTAAACAAATTTCATATTGAATTTTTTTAAAAGGGGGGTTCTGCTTGAGAGAATAAAATAATGAGTTTAGATTTTAGTTGGTAAATAAAAAATATTGCTGACAATAATAATAGCATCACCATTTTTATCATAACTAACTAGTAATAATGTCAGCTATTTTGAGCAAATGAAAGAAAAATGGGATCAAGCAGGCTACTTAGTAATATTATGAGTTAGTGTTTTTTCTCTTATTCTTTCATTTGTACAATAAACATAATGTTAAACAATAATTCACTGTAGTGTGGTTGTTTTTCAGTTTGCCATACCCTGATGCATTATTGTTTTTTACATGTACATTAAAGTATTTTTTGTTTAACCCAAATTTATAGATCACTTCAATAAAATATTGCCACATTTTGTTTATTATGACATTTAATATCTGCAGATTAACACCAAATTGTAAGTGATAAAATCATTTTGTTTGTATAATTATATCCTCATGTTTTTTATTTAATTTTCTAATGTAGCCCAGCCTTTTGGTGTTCCTGAAATCCTAAAAACATCAATATCTGAATGTTTTGTTGAAGGAAATGTTGAACTTTTTATTATTGGGAAAAACTTTCTGAAAGATACACATTTGATTTTTTGGGAGCAAAATGAAGGTATGTTTTAACCAAAACAACATTGTTTCTTTTACTTTTTTGGCTTTTTGGAGGAAATGCATTGGCATCGTGCCACCTGCTGTGTTAGAATAAGGTATTTGTAATTGAATCGTTTGTCTCGATTCTTCATGACTAGAAGTTATTTATCTCACATGCTAGTTACAGTTAATCAAGACATTTGTGATTTGAAATGTATTGATCTTGTCTGTCATACTAAAATATTGCTAATATTATATCAAAAAAGTTAGTTCCTGTAACTTACACTAATTTTGTAAACATGTTTTTATAGTAGATCACTGTATCTTAAGGTTTAGTATTTTTTGTGTAATAGAAAATGAGTTTATCTATGATGAAAACTTTGTAAATTTATTTATTACATGTTTGTGACTGAAGTTATTCTGCAATGAGCTGTCTGAAGTGCTTGAAGAGCACAAAAAGTTGTGGTTGTATTGATTACCTCAGAGCATAGGCCAGCACAGTTAAAAAATAATTTCTAATAATTTCTTTATAAAAGTAACATCCTAGACTTGCTTGACAATAGAGGTTCTTCTATACACTGAACCTCAAAGAAGTACACTTAATTTGTTCAAAAAATCCGGGGTAATAGTAAATAGTAATCAGTAGTAATTAGATAATAAAAAGATTTAACATAAAAAGGAAGATAGTATGAATAAATAATCAGCTAAATTTATAAATTCTCTGTTAATGTGCAGTGTTAGAACATGTGAGCCACTGATATTTAAATTATTCAAAAATAATAAAATAATCAGTGTTGTACCTGTAACTGTGCATTTGTTTTAGGTCACTCACAACCTTACCTCAAAACTCAGAAATTAACTATTGTTCTTTTAAAATGAAACACTTATTTCATCTTCAATAAATTGTACTAAGTAAGTGTAATGCATTATGAAGGGTAATATCGAGCTTTTTTGGTTACTAGAAAGTTATTTTTGATTTTCATTATTGTACAGGAGTGACAATACACCTTATATATACAGGGTGTCCCAGAAGTCTGGACCTATAGGAAAAAAATACACGATTTATTCTGAATTTATTTATTATTTAAATTGCTTGTCATTAACATTCATACATATATAAATTCTTGATAAGCTGTGCCATCAGGGTATTTTCTTTCTTGAAATATGTACAACTAACATTAGAAATGTGTTTAACTTTAAGAATATAATGCCTATTTTCCTTATGGGTCTGGACTTCAGGGACACTCAGTAGATTTAACTGCTACGGGCATGTGAAGTGAAACTAAAAGCAAAAAAAAAATATATAGATATATGTTTGTGTGTGTGTGTGTACAAACACACACACACTTGCAAAATTAGGAGCAAATTTAGTTTTTTTAAGTGTACATCTGAATAGTTATTAAGTTAATGTGCTTCTACATACTAATTAAATAAGATCATAAGATGTTAAATTGTTATTCCTGTAATACGAAAGAACGTTTGTATCTGCCCTATGTGGGGCTAGTTTGCAGTAAGTAGGAAGGCATATTATTCTTGCTCATAGTAATAGATAAGCTTAACATCCCTTACAAGTCATACTGAATGGTTAAAACATACATATAAAACAAAGAAATATATATATACATATATGTTCCCATCAAAAATAAAATGTCACCCTCTTTCGAAAGAACAGACATGCCACTGACAAACTCTCAAGGCTATGCTAAATCATTAAAATGTTTAAAACATGAGATCTAAATGAATGTGACATTCTCAAGCTGTCAAGAACTTACTTTTTAGTAGTATATATAGTATTGTAAGTATTGTTGCGCTACGGTTTCTTCTACAGTAGGTATCTGTGACTTGTTGGTGATAAATTCGACAATATATGAAGAGCACGCATTCCACTTGTTTTTAAAATAATATATATATATATATTTGAAACATGTTATATGTACATACAAAAATGATTTACAATATGGAGATCATAATTGTATCTTGAACACTATACAGTTCTTTTCTATTTGTCAAAAGTCCACATAGGCCAATTCAATTGCTTTAGAATTCAAGCCAAACTATTTTTATCGCAATAGTATCCGTGTATAATTCAAATATGAAAAGCAGATGATAATTGGAAGTACGAAAAGCAGATGATAATTGGAAGTACGAAAAGCAGATGATAATTGGAAGTACGAAAAGCAGATTATAATTGGAAGTTCAGGGTACAACTGTGGTAACTCATGCAACAGTGTATTCCAATTATCATCTGTTTTTCATACTTCCAATAATTGTCTGTTCTTCATACTTCCAATAATCGTCTGTTTTTCGTACTTCCAATAATCGTTTGCCTTTTGTCAAAGTCCACACAGGTGGGTTCAAGTAGTTTAGAACACCCTTTGATGAGACAAATTATTCTCCTTATCTCTTTCAAACTGTTAATCTTACTCTAACTTATTAACCATTAGGCCATTCACTCCGAGCTTGGTTAACTTTAACTTTTCTAACTTTTCTCTGACCAAACTTCTCTTCCATTTGACTTTATTTTTACTCTGTTTCTGCTTGTCTGGTCACAGCTATTTATACTTATATCACTTAGGCCTTCTGGAAATCTCCATATCCTCGACATTAGTGGATTGCAAACACAACGTTCAATAGTCTTGACGTCAATGAATTACAAACACAAAATAAGTAAATTAATAACACTACCTACACTGAAAAGTCTTTTATATATCCGACACAAGCTCCTCTTTAATTGATAAAATGTGATGATTGAACTAAGCAAAAACATATAAGTAAGATATACCACATATACTTTTGTACATAAATGGTATAAACAAGTAAAGAGTTACAACTATTTCTCAGTCTGAAATAGAAGGCACTAAAAATTTGTGTTTAAGGTACAATTGTAGCTCAGAAAAGGTAGAAACTTCAAGTGACACTCTTTGCCATAGAATATTAGGTTTTTTCATGATTAAGAAATATTTTTGGGCTGCTGGTAAAATTATAAAAATGGCCTATATACACAGCATGGTCACAAGTAAATAGACACCACCTTTTCAGAAAAATTAAATTTTTCTGTCATATTCACATGAATTGATATATTTATAATTTAATTAATATCTAGTAGATCTTCCTTTCGATTCGTGAAGTTCGTTGATCCTTTG